AATTACATAAATGTCATCTTATAATGTTGAATAAGATTTATTTATACATTGTGGTTTATAGATTGTATCTTTCATTTCTTATTGTGGAGGGCTTCCCGCTCCTGAAGCATCCAATAATCCTCTTGGATACAAATTTAGCTGGTCTTCACGTGGTGTACTATTAGCATTACGAAACTCTGCTAAATTCTTCCTAAATGGGGATGTAGGTTATAAGCAAATTTATAAAATTTCACCATTAATATAAAGGCTAATCTCTAATTTTGGGATCCTTTTTTCACAAAGATTGTGGAAATACCTGGAACACAACTTATGTTATCTGCAAAACCTTATTTTATTTATCCAGCATTTGCATTCTGGGCCTATCCAAATAGAGATTCTACGCCTTTTAGAGAGTTTTACAACATTCCCGAAGCTAAAACAGTTTTACGCGGTACCCTGAGATATCAGGTTTATGTTAAGACATTACATTATATGTTATTTTCCTTTATATTATTTACGAATCAAAGATAAATCTTTGTTTATTTACTTTAGGGGTTTACTTCTTTTGTCAAAGTTTTGGTTGATATTGGTTTATTAGATGATTCTGAAAAAGATTACCTGTCTCCTGGCGCTTCTGAGATTGCTTGGGTAATTATCTTCATACTTAAAAAAAAAAGTGTACAAATCTATCGTACTCTAATGTTTAAAATAAATCAACTTATGTAGAATGATGTTCTTGCCAAAACACTTGAAATATCCGGTAAATCTGAGTCGTAAGTCGGAAATCCTTTGTCGAAATAAGTAAATTATAAAGGTTCTAATTAAATTGCTAAAATAAATTCATAAAATTATAAGTGATCTTCGTAGACATATTGCTCTTAGAGTTTCTCAAGTTTCTGGTGAAGAACTTGAACGAATTTTCAAAGGCTTCAAGTGGCTAGGTCTGTTTTCTGATGAAAAGGTTCATCGCAAAGGTACGTTACTTGATACCCTTTGCGCTACCCTGGAAGAAAAAATGCAATATGAGGAAGGAGAGAGGGATATGGTCATTCTACAACATAAATTTGAGATCGAAACCAAAACTGGGGAAATGGTATTTACTCATTGAATTTTCCTGCTTAAAATGTTTTTATTGTCTATGGGAAAGTATTTTTCACAATTATTTGGTTAATAAAAAGGAAACATGGACTTCAACCCTTCTGGAATATGGCAACCCTCCTGGCCCATCTGCAATGGCTAGAACAGTCGGAATTCCATGCGGAATTGCTGCACAATTGGTTTTAGATGGTAAGCTGTTAAAATATTTATCATTTTTTAAAAAACCACAATAAGTATACGGTGTTAATAACAATACAACGTTCATTTTAAAGGCGTAATTAACCAAAAAGGCATCCTCACACCTTATACACCAGAAATTAATAATCCAATAATTAAAGCTTTAGAAGAAGAAGGAATCAAAGTTATTGATGAAAAATTGTAAAACCCAAAACCTTAATTGTATGTCAATAGTAGATTCTAAATTAATTACATTTATTACGTACATTATAATATATATCAACTTCCGTATGAAATTGTAATTATGATGCAATTATATTATGCGTATAAGTATCTTACGTTAAGCAAACTGAAACGCCCTTATATTTTCTCTAACTAAATTCAAGAATGACACTTCGCAAATCTGGTAAAGGTATTCCTTTAGAAGAAGAAGATGCATCGAGATTAAAATTCAAC